GAGAGCTGTGGGATGTGCAGCTCAGCTGATCAAGTTGAAGAGGAGCTGGGCTTGCAGGTGGAGAAGAGCATTGACTCTTCAAGTGTAGGGAGCAGGCTGAATGCCAGTTCTGAGGCAGCCTCTGCCCCACCAGCTCCTACCAGCTTCTGCCCCCTGGCAGCAGATCTGGCTTCCCCTGTACCAGCACAGCCAGTCTGACCCAGCAAGGACATGGGAGCTGTGCTCAAGCCCCATGTCAGGAGCATAGGGATGAAAAGGAAAGGTTTGTCACCACTGGAGTAGCGACCAGGTGAAAGTAAAGGGTGTTCAAGCAATCAGAAATCCTATTTCTAATCTCCTGTGCCATTTTAATTAGAAGTAGCTAAAGCTTCACTCAATGCAATATTGTTCTTCCCTTACTCTGTAGCTTGGCTTTCTTCTCAAAATTTGTGTGCTGAACCTGCACATCCTGGAGCCTGATAGCTCATTCTATCAAACCTTGCCTAGAGCAGTGGTTTTCAGCCTGTTTTCAATGTGCAGAATCCCAAATAACTTGAAAATGAACCTGTATTGCTACGTAACAAAGTTGATTTTAACAACAGTAGCTTCCTTTCGGTAACTTCTGGCTTCTTAGTGCTTACACCTAGGTCTGTGTGTAGTGGACCACAGCTCCCAAGGAATAGGATAAGTGACTTGATGTCTTGCATCTGAGCATGCCATCTCTCTCCTTTGCTGCCAGCTGCTGTGAACATTACTGGAATCTAATTCGATGAACTGATTTTAAAAGTGATTGTACCATAATGCCTTTCTCTTTTTCCTTTTCCCAAAGCAACTTGTAATTGTGAAAATTGGAGAATCTCAGGGCAGGAATTCGACATTTTGGATTATACACTTAATTCCTTGAGCACTTTTTCCCTAAGAGGAGCAGCTGCCTGTTTTAGTTTTCCATTTATTAATTAAATCCTGAATGTGTGCACACACACACAAGCTAGTCTGCAAGATAAGGATCTGTACAAAGCTTTTCTTCTGCAGAAGGATTACTTGGCTTTCTCTTACCTGTTTAAATCTTAAATACTAGTCTCTTCCCTTTTTTATGATCCACACCAGATCTTTTTGTCCCCTTAATGCTAGCTCTGAGAGAGAAGGAATCCAAGGAAGCAGTGTTCAGAAATAAATTAAAGTGATGGTTACAGACAAAGGATTTGTTAAAAAAAGATGAAGCTGCTGGCCCAGTCCAGAGGCCTGTTGCTGCCTGGCTCAGAGGGTGCCACTCGGAGTCCTCCCATAGCTAACGCTGCAGCGCATGGACGTCGGAGCAGGAAGCTTTCCTCTCTGCTGATGTTCAGCTTATGCCCCGCAGCATGTGCTTTAGTAGCATTTATACGTAGATTTGACCACTAATAACGAATATAGTTGTGTGTTGTAGCTGTTTAATACAAAGCCTCTTGTTTCTAATCAGTGCATGGAATTATAGTGCATGCTATGTGTGTTGTCCCCCCACCCCTTTTATTTACAGTGTACAGCCTCAGGTTTGTTTGCATCTCCACACTGTTTTTGATTTAAGAAAAAAAAAATAATCTCCAAACGTTTCTAGTTGCTGATAGCCCGACTCCTCCCCCACCTCCGCCCCCCGATGAGATGCCGATGTTTGATGACTCTCCTCCTCCTCCACCCCCACCTCCCGTGGATTATGAGGATGAGGAGGCTGCTGTTGTGCAGTACAGCGATCCCTATGCAGATGGAGATCCTGCTTGGGCACCTAAAAACTATATAGAGAAAGGTAAGAGAGGCGTTGCAGCTGCGTTAGTGCAATATCAGAGGATTAGTGGTATCTGAAGGGAATGAAGGACTTAATGTGGGTCTGATGAGAACAGTCATTGTCCCTCCTAAATCAGAACTCGATCCATGCTGTCCTTAGTTTGTGGCTACACCTAATGTTATAAGATAGAATCCTTTTTTTGGACAAATTATAAAATACCGTCAAACATTCTGGAACAGATGAAAACCAAAAAGCTTCTTTATGAGATGCAGATGTAAATTGTATGGCTTTCATCTTTTCTGGACTGTGTCTTTAGCTACCTCAGGACTGCTAGGCAGTCATCTAGAAACTGTTGCAAAAAGGCCAGAAATTGAGCTGTATTTATCGCACTGAACTAGATAGCTAGAGTGGATCATTAGACTTCCAACTATAAAATGTGTTGAGGAGTCAGTGACTCCCCCATCAGCAAACTACAAACTAACGTAGTAAATGTCTCTTCCCATGAATAATAGAGATGCTGATTTCCTGCCTAAGACATCAGATTTCTGAGAATATATATATAGGTGTAAAGTAGTAGATTCTTGTAATTCCTGAAGCTGATCAATTGCATAAATCCATGTTAACTGTTTTGAATAGTAAGGCTATGATGTCTGAACTCTCTATATTCATAGTGGTAGTTTTTAACTCCACTATTGTTGGTGGCAACACTTACTTTCCTTAACGTGATCTCTGCTTTGTTAGTGGCACACAGTGAGTTGGAGGTTGGTAAGAGTAAAGTATTCACCAAGCACATACTGAAAAATAGCGGATGTTGCTGTAAATTCGCTTCTGCTTTCTCCTACAGTAACGTTTCTACCTGCACGCATTGCAGCTTCTTGAAAATTGATGCCAGAACTTCCTATCACACAGAAGCTCTGTAGGAAAGACCATCCATTTGTTGGAGCAGCTTAACACAGCGATGTGTAGATCACACGCTGAATACAGTGTATATATGTGTGTGTGTGTATACATATATATATATATATATATATATATAGTTGCAGGGGCCCTAGTGAAATGATTTTTAAAAAAAAAAATTTATTTTGAGGTAATCAGACCAGAAATGGCTGCCACACTTAAGGAGTCAGTTATTTCATACTTCAGCTTCAAGTGTCCATATGCACTGCTTTACTGTGTTGCAGTCAGATGTACCTCTCTGTCAGCAGCTTAACTGAGCATTCAGTGTAGTCACCACCCACTTCTTATTGGTAGCTAATGTTGCAAGGAAAGTGAAATTTCATTTTCTGGACTTAATGTTCAAAAGGGAAAGCATGTGAATTCATTATGGAAAATCCCAGGATAGCAAACTAGTCTTTTAATATTTTTGGAAGTACAATTGTTTTTTAATACTGGTGCTATTAATAAAATGCTAATCGTGTCCCTTTCCAATCCACAGTTGTTGCTATATATGACTATACAAAGGACAAAGACGATGAGCTGTCATTTATGGAGGGTGCAATCATTTATGTGATAAAGAAGAACGATGACGGCTGGTATGAAGGAGTTTGCAATCGAGTAACTGGCTTGTTTCCTGGGAATTACGTTGAATCAATCATGCACTATGCCGATTAAAATCCTTTGCTTTTCAAAGTTTGGTCTTGTATTCAGTCATACCATGATTATTTACAAGGGGTAACTAAAAGCTAACAGGATTGTCTTAATATACTTTCAAAAAATTGTGCCCATTTCTTCAGGCCATACTGTTTTAATGGTATGATTGAATGTCCATCTCTGAGTCTCTGGGGACAATATGTCTTACCTGATGGCAATTTGTAAAACAAACAACTGTCTATAACTGGTTATACTTATTTACTTATGCATTGTTAATTTTATGACCAGCCTAAATATTATGGGGAAGTAGGGTATAATATTTAATGAACCATGATCAGATTGTGCCATTACATTTTTCAGTACAGCATGGTAACTAACACTACGTTAGACTAACATATTAAAATCTGGATGAGAAGTTTAATGTTAGTGCTGGTCATATTACTTTTTGTTTAGACTCTTTGCTCATTCTTGAACTATATTTGTTTAAAGCATGCATACAAACTTATGTATTGAAATATACTTTTTTAAAAATCCAAGATGCTTCCAATTGTTGTAATCTTTACCTGGAGTATTCTCACTAAAGTCTATTACAATGAGTTGTTTGGGTCTAAGGTGTCCATGTGAATCAAAAAATGGGTGGTCTTATGTATGTGTAATTTGTACCCAAGTTTTTTTAATGAGTAAATTTACATTATGACTTTTTCCATTCATAAATATATAAGTGAACCAAAGGTCTTGTCCATTACTTTGTTGGTTGGCTTGGCAAAGAAGGCTGGAATGCTAAGGTAGCAAAATCATGGCTGTGTTATCCCAGGCAATGTACTGAAAAGCAAATGTTTGTAACATGAATTTATCACTGACAGAGGGAAAATAAATTAGATCTGAAACCCTGAATTACACACTTACACATACTCTTAAAGGTTCTTTTCTTCCAACATTTAATTATAGCTAGGATTCTTGATTTAATCTAGTTATCTAGATGCAGTAAAACTTGGACACCATCTGTAACTTACAGTTCTCTGAGGAAACTCTGTGTGACTTGGTGATGTGCCCTGCTGAGAAGAGACAGCAGGGTGTCCTCCAGAGAGCACCCAGGGGGAACACACACGACAGGAACTTGGCCATTGTGTTAAAGCATCACAGGCAGAGACAGAGATTGTGTGCCTCCCTGTTCTACAAATTCTGTGGCTGAAATAACCTGAAAAGGAATGTGGTAGTACTGGATAATTACTGTGAGAGGAATGTGTCTGGGACTTCAAAGCAGGCTTCTAGAAGAGTACTGAATATAGTCTATAAATGAGCGATGGAAGGGGATGGAGTTGCAGGTTTGACTGGCTGGTGAATCATTTAGTTTTAGTGTGAGTTAGAAATACTGAGCCTTTCATTATCTGAGCTGCAGCAATCTCAAATTCTGCATCTTGTTAACTGCTAGCAAGTAGCCACCAATAGTGTACCTGTATTTCATTACGAATTGGAACTCACTGATGTATATAACCAATTAAAATCTACATATAGTCTTTTACAGTAACAACAGAAGCAACTAGAATTGTACATATGATACCAGTTTAAACAGCCAGGGAAGCATTCAAACCATCTCTCTTCACAGGAGTTTACCAGCCCCTGTGCATGCATGCTCTGTTTATTAGTGTAAACAACTGAAATTCAGAACAACTTCAGTTCTCATACACTGATTTATATTTATTCTCATTGTGGCCTTTGTGCATCAACATGTAAACATCTTCCCATCCCCCACAATCAATAGCCCCCCACTAAAACAATTGTACAGCACAGTTTGATTTGCTCTGAATTGCATTGCTTCCTGCAGTAAAACACTTTAAACTTTTGTTTAAAAAAAAAAAAGGTTTTTTTAAAAAAATAATTTTTGGTAGCCTGTGTTGGAAGCAAATAACTGTTGAAATAAATGTAGGCACAGTCTGGTAAGTAGCTGCCAGGACGAGTGGAAGGAGTTGTCTCACTTGTCTCGCATGAGAACCATTTCTGTGAGGTGGACGAGGGCTTCCCTCTCGGGGGATGGCCGCAGTTTGCGGATCTCTCGCGTGGCCGCGTGGCAGTAGCGCTGGGCGAGGTAGGTTGTCTGCTGCACACCATCACTCTGAGGTGGAAAGACAGTGAGAGGAAATGGGTAAATGATCAGCCTCCCTCCTGCCTTTTGCCTCTCCCAGTTTACAGGGGTTTTAAGGTCAGTAAGTACCCTGAACACTTAATTATATTGTGCAGGGGAAAGCAAGAGGATTCGTTCTATATTCATGGAATCCTACATACCTTCCCCAAAGTGTCAAAATACTAAAACTCATCCATGCTAAATGTAAGTATACTTACAAAACAGCACTGGTATTAATAACATATTAGAAACTAATGGTTTAACCCCTCCCCTCCTGCCCTAAGTATGGATGTGCAAAAAAAGTGCTATTCTGAAAAAATAGGTATTAATTTTGCACAGACCATTATTCAGTCTTTTCAGACCAGAGTCAATTAAAACTGATAAGGGGTGTGCACTGCAGTTACAAGACTGACTGGTAATGATGTGCCACTTACACCAGTTGTTGGATACAGCTACTCCTCAGCTGAAGGAACTGAGTTCATGCATGAGCTTTTTACTTTTATTATGTGGATTTTATGCTATGGGAGGGAAAAAAGAAAAAAAAGCTCTTCAGTACCTATCATTTCTTCTAAAACACTGTACCAGTAAGACAGCTGAAGAGTTCTAACTTGGCATTTTACACTGCATGCTACTTAACAAGTATCTGACAATGCAGCCCTGCTATTTTACTTTGGAGACAATGAATTTCAGACCAACTTCAGTAGGGAAAGCAGAAATATTTGGTATCAGTCTTACCTGCAACACATATTTCCAAGCACGTTCAACATCTCCTGGCCTACTGAATCTCCTCATTATCATAGCATTCATTTCTGGAAACTAAGCACAAAGGGAGAAGGTTTTTGTACCGCTTTTGTTTTCCATGTAGCTGCCTGCCATGCTAAGGTCAAAACGACACCGAAGTTATTACGGGTATAGCTTTAGGTTCATACTTGCAGTCTGCATAGGACTGTAGTACAGCAAAGCTCAACATTTAAACTTAAACTGTCTGGCTCTGCTGGCTGTACCCAGTTGGTAGCAAAAGGCAGCACCTGCCATTTCATCATGTTGAGCAGATGATCTACTGTGGTAATTTCTGATGTGGCTACTCCCTGGAGTATAATCTCCTTCAGGTATTTTTCTATCACAAATGATGCTTAGTGTTGTCACAGCTCAAAGAAGCACTTCTTCCCCCCCTGTGTACAACAGTGAACACAAGAGGTTTGTTGTTTAGCTGTTATATCCACTTATACTTTCTGTTGTACTGGGATTTTATGTACACAGGCTCTGCCCTGTGGAAAGCTCAGGACTGATTTTTTTTTTAATAAGAAAGAAATGACAACTATAAGGTATTTTGTTTTCAGTCACACAGCATTTGTAGTTAGTAGTCCATGCTCAATTCCCTACAAATCAAGTAGGTAACTCAAGTCAGTTGTGTGAGAAAGTCGCATTACTTTACTTATCTAAACATGCAGGCTCTTTCTCCAGATAGCCTAGAAACAGAAAAACCTGGTGCTTAACAAAGTAAGGTCACAATTCAAGGCACCTACTCTGCAGAAAAATTCTTTTTAAAGGAAAGAGGTCTTGGTTCATCTTCTTTGAAAGGATTAGTCAAAGAAAGATGATTTTATTGCCGTACACTTGTAAACAATAATCTGCTTTCCTAGCACACCTTTGGTCCTGAAACTGCAGCTCCACAACCTTGTTCGGGTAGAAACGCGGCATCCCTAACTGCTGTTACATTTCCTTACTACTCATATGAAGTCTTCTTGGAGATGCATTTAGAAGTTTATTGGTGACTCATACATGTATATGGAATCACTTTTTATATTTAAGTGCTAAAGGATATGAAAATCTCCAAACCTGTAAGGCAAAGCTGTTATTAGCCACTCTGCAGATTTAGCAGACAGTGTATAAACACTGGACAGGAATGCTTATAATAAAAATAAACCCTCATTCTTCAGCTGTACTAGTTTAGGAATGGCTTTAGAATTAGCATATACTAGTGTATTTCCTTAAGAAATAAATGGGGTGGGGTTTTTTTTAACTGAGTGAACTAACTTTAAATACTGAATAAATAGGTATCACATCAAGCTAAACATTTTTATTTTCTATAAAGGCCTCTCCTTAATACTTTAATGCACAAAGATGTATTTCAGAGGGAGGGGAGAGGATGAGAAGAAAAGGCAGCTGTCACTAAAGACCCAGAGCATGTTAAAAACTGAAGAATGTTTTTCAGAAGACAACTCGGGGATAACCAGCTATATGAAGGGATTTGCAGGATAGTAGTAATATTAATTTGAAGAGAAAAGACAGCCTATAATTAACAATTACATTTTGAACTGTCTTCAAGTCCTGGCTCAGGAATTTTTATTCTCAGACACAAGTAGATGAAACATCTTTCAGAAGCAGCAAAGACAAGTGTCTGTTAAAGCTCCACATTTTTTTAGCGCTTATGCCTTGTTTATGTATCCGTTAAGTCTGTAGTGCTGTTCTTCCAGTTTCTTGAAAACAGCAAAAAATTCTCAGCAGAGAAAATGAAGTTAATGTGGAAAACTTTGTAAGATGATCAAGTTATCTTTCAATGCAAAAATATATGCTTCCCATCTATCAAAAATATGAGTAAAAACATTTAAAACTGACCTACAAAGAGCAAGATTTTAAAATAGAACTGACAGATTTTCTTTTCTTGTATTTTTATATTATGAACTAATTTATCTTATAAAGCTAATTAAAAGACAGGTGAATTTGAAAGTCAGAGACAGAAAACCAAACAAATTAATAATAGTTTTAATTTAAAAAATGGGAATATTCAACACCCACAAGACAATCAGTGTCACCCATTCTCTGCCAAAATCAAGAGTATTTGCAATATGTCTTGTTTCTCTCTGTAACTTTAGCACACACAAAACCAAACTGTTTTACAATTGCATCCTCTTTCTCTGCCTGAGTCTCTCACTGTTCTTTAGATGACTCCAGTTGCTGATGACTAACAGTTCTGAAATAATGATTCAAGAACATGCTTGTGAATCCCCCAGATGATTATGTGGGGAGGGACTGAGAACATGGAGAAAATTGTTCTCAATGTGCATTCGTCTGCATTGTTAATTGGCCCATACTCTGTGCTTTCCTGTCTTTTCTGAGTTATGGATCCTTGTAAATGCCCTATGTATAAGGAAGCAAACACATTCATATGTTCCACCTTGCCCCACCCCAGGCTCTTTTAAGAAAGAGGGGGAAGTAAATGTCAAAGTTGCTGAGGTTTTTTTTTTTTGTTTTAAATGATTTAAAACTTTTCCAGTGTCAAGCTCTCAGCAGTTCCACTGAGAGATCACAGACTAGAGCTCTGCTGGAACTAGATGTGCCCGTTTTTGTATGATGCTGTGAAGTTGGTAGGAGGAACTGCTTTTGAAGTCTCAAATCTTCTTTCCTCTGGTGAACCAGAAACTTGAGCAAGGCACATTAAACCAGTTTCTTCCCCATTTATGGATTAGCACCAATTTTGATGTTTCTTTTGGTGCTGCTTGCACTCCTGTTTTCCTTGAACTCCTCCAAATAATTCTTAAGGCACTAAAAATCTTGACCCATTTTAAGCTTGTTTTATTTATGACACTCCTTCTCTTATCCAGCCTTCAGAAGGGAAAGCTTTCTACATTTGTAACTGGCTAATACTTGAAGACAAAGAGAGAAGATATCAAATCCAGTAAATAGAGGTACCCACCTAAAAGCTAGGCAGGGATTTCAGTTCTTGGCCCCAGGATGGATACAAAGCCCAGAACCTGGCAAAAGAGCTTACACACGCAGTCAAGCCTGGGAAGAACAAGATGTCTCAGGAGAGAACATAAGCAAGAAGCTACTTAGGAATAACCTAAATAAAACATGCAGATACTCTGTGAGTACCTACAAGGGCCTAATAGTAAGAGGAGCTGTGCAGGAAGGTGATTCTCAGTCTGTCAGAACATGTGTGCACACAAAATCCATCTGATCCTGAATGCACAGATTTTTCACATGGGCCCAGGCCCCGCTGAATGCGGATGCTGTAGCATTGATGTGTTTATGCTGGACCTGGGTGTCCTGCTGTGAGGAGCAGTTTACACTTTCTGTTTCGAGGAAGCAGATTCCTGTTGACTTACCTGTCGACAAGCAAACAAGACAGGGCCTGTGGCCAATCCAAGCTTGAGATCTGCTGCTGTTGGTTTCCCCAGACGGTCGGCACATGATGTAAAATCCAGCACATCATCTATTAGCTGGGAAAAAAATAAATATGCAGATTATTTAGAAACTTCCTTTTTAAAAATGAGAACTAAATACAGAATAATACTTGTTAAAGAGAAGATTTGCAGAAAGGATTAAGACAGCCCACTTTGATTTCTAAAGCAGTTTGGAGAATTTTAGACTTTAGATCCCTTTTAGTTCAATAAAAGCACTACCTGAAAAGCTATGCCAACATTTTTTCCATACTGGTATGCAATCTCATGAACTTTGGGATCAGGGCAGCCTAGAATTGAAACCTGAAAAGACAAAAAAACTCAAGTAAATAGAAAGCTTTAGTTAGCATCCACTTTTAGTCCCTCACCATAGGTGTGACATAGCCAGCACAGGCAGAAGGGATCTGGGAAAGGCAAAAAAAAAAAAGCTGACTCAGGGGCACATTCTTGCTTATCTCTGTTCATGGAGACACACAATGAACCAAGCTTACTAGAAAACAAGGCTGAAAAGCAGTGTGATATTAAAACTATATTCAATTCTGGTCTGGAAAGAGATTAGCTTTATTAAATATTTATTAGACTTAAAAATTATAATGTAAGGATAAAGAGAGAAGATGTGGATGCACTGCACATGCAGGCTAGTGGTTGTATACAGTCCAGTGACAGGGAAATTAAATTTATTACATACATAAATCAGCTAGGGGGCAATTGGAGGTCAGACAACAGATAAATGGACATTACATCTCATAAAAGATCACAAAACTGGACGTGTTGAACCCAGTACAGCGGCAGTTGAGATAAGGAAGATTATTTTTAAGGTGATGTTAACTGTAACTGACTTGCTCAGGAAGATGAGTTAATTGGTTTGCAGGCAAAGGTACTGAGGGATAATTAGTGGCAAAGACAAGACAGCACATCAAGCTGGCAAAAGTGTCACTAAACTGAGATAAACAAAACATTTTAACTGAGTACAGATAAAGGAATCAACTATCTAAGAGGCAGAAATTTTGCTGAATAAACTCCACAAAACTAAAATACAGGGCACAAATTAAGGTTTGAGAATTAATATCTTGCCTCAAAGTAAGGGCACTTATGCTTTTGCATTTAAGCATTGAGTATACGCTTCACAAAATCAAGTTGGTTATATTTAAATACTCAGATTTATTTCATCCTTCAATAAGGCAATTAGGAACAGGGGGCAAAAATCCATCCTGGTTTATTGTAGGCATTCCAAATCCGCTGTGACTAACGGAAGGAGTGAAAATACATTTTATTTAACGTAAGGCTAAAAATATATGCTGGGAAAGCCACACAGTATAAATATATATATATATATAAACCACCCAAATATATATATATATATATATATATATATATATATAAATTCCTCTTTAAGACTGTGTAAGGTAGGATCATAAAAAAAACCCAACCCCCAAACCAACCCCAAATTAGAAGCAAGTCCAGTAGTAGCTTAGAAGGTGAACATGAAGAGGGAAATAAGAAACAACACTATATTCTAATAAATGTGATGGCACAAGATTAGAGATTATTTCATGCATCAGTGCACTTCATAACTGAGCATCAGAACACCTCCCACTCATAACCGGCATCCATGGATAATAACTAAAACCCAGAGGAATCTGGATGCCTAAGGCATTAACAGCATCTCACATTTCCCAATTTTATTTAAAAGAGGAGGACAGTACAGCAGGAAAATACTAATACTTATGTCTAATAATCATACAAAATCCTGAAGGCTATTAAACAGAGTGAACTGCAAATATGAGATATTTAAATAGATGTTGCTAGGGACTATCAAACTAGAGTATTTTGCCCTTTTATCCTTCTTTAGGTACTTGTCTCTTAAACAGCGGTATTTGCCCCAGAGATCTAACGTATACTGCTGTACCATGCCTAGCAAACTTCTAGTTGCTTCTGTAATATAAATCACATAATATCCGCAAGGCAGGGGGACTGCATCTACCCTTTTTCAATAAAATCTTTACCTACCACCACATTTCATCTCATGTGGAGGACTAAAATACGGATTTCAGTGGAACAAAATCCTAATTAATGGCAAAGGATCAGAACGGGCACTAGTTGGCAGAGGCGGAGAGGAAGTGCCATGTAAAGAGAGGAGCTTCCTCATTTAACTTTAAAAGTCAGGAAGAACAGAGCTACTCCTGTTGGTGGACAGTTTTCAAGGGACACAGACATCACCTATACAAAGAATCCCACCACTGTACGTACATGCAAAAAACAACCCTTAGACACAGAATAGAACACAAGAAAAATTCATCAATGCACAATTAACTCTCGCATCTTTGCAAGAGAAGACTGTCATAGCTCCTGTTCAGGTTATGAACATTTCTTGTTCATATACAAAAGAAAAGACAAACAAAAAGACAAAATCCAGGAGACTGATTTGCCAGTCATCCTCAAGTGAGCAATCCTCTAATCATGACCATAAACCTGCAACATGGCTGGGTCGTGTCTACCAGGGAGTTCCTTCAGGACGCAATTTCTCAAAATGCTCTTGTAGATTATTGCCCCCACCTGGACACTCACCAGGATGCAGCCAGGCAGCTTGTCAATCCCAGATGAAGTTTAACTGAAGCCATACTGGGAGATAACAGCATGCATTTGCAAATACAAATCAGGGTAATCAAGTCAATGCAATGATATGTTTAAATTATAAAGCTCATCCCTTAAAAACATCCTATAGCTCCCCTAATAGATATGACTTGTTGATGACAAATTTAATCTTGTAAGAATTCAGACCTGTCCTCCACTAAATCATGATGAAAAATCCTAACACCAAGTGGAACAAATTCTTTAGAAATGTTCTCTAAATTCAATAAAGCAATAAATTTGCTCGGTATTATTTCAAACACACTTCTTGCAATAAAAAGTTGTTTCTAGTATGTTATATGAGAGACTGTGAATCAATCTTGCCTCTTTACTGAATTTTACATCCGTAAAATATATAATCAGCTCTGGGTAGATAGATCCCGCTCTGATATTTAATATGTGACAATATGGCAGCTGGTGTTGAAAGCACTTGCACATTTCTACCCTGCAGGTCACAGAGGAAAACCTGCTGCTGTGCCAGGATATGCTTGTATAAACAGTACAAGAGATGTTTGTTCTTGCACTCCTAGATTTCTGAAAAGGAAAAGGCTCTAAAATCTTCCCCTTTTCCAGACTTTCTCCTCCATGCCCATCTCTAGAAGCAGTCAGGTTCCTGCCTTCTCATTCATGGCTCATCCACTGCTGTTCTTCTAGACAGGAGCACTGTTCCTCTTTCCAGTAGAATCACAGAATAGTTCAGGTTGGAAGGGAACTCTGAAAGTTATTTGGTCCAGTCATCTGCTCAAAGCACTTTACTTCACAGTTAGATCAGGTTTCTCAGGGCTGTGCCCAGTTGACTTCTGAGCAACTCCAAGGATGAAAAGTCCCACACTCTGTCTGGGTGACCTGTTGCAGTGTTTGACCAACCTCATGGAGAAATTTTTCCTAAGAGCAAACTGAATTTTTTCATGAACTTGTCCTTTCACTGCACCTCTCTCCATCCTCTCCGTGCCCTCCAATTACAAGGCTGGAGGATTCCCCCTTTGCCTTCTCTACTCCAGACTAAAACCAGCTCTTGGCATATCATCTGCTCCAGTCCCTGCCATCACGTTGGCCCTTCGCTGAACTCACTCCACAGTGTCCATGTCTGTCCTGGAAGAGGGAGGCCAGCCCTGTGGTCTCACACATGCTGAACAGCCCTGTATGTGCTGGCCATGCTGGCAGCGATGCACCCACAGTGTGCCTGTTCCTCCCTGCTGCAGGCACATCCTTACTTCCTCCAGGATCTTCAAATCCCTTTTTGTAACTGCTCCTGCCAAGGGGGTGGTGAGGGCCTCCCTGGGAGAGTGAGATGACTACCCAGCAGAAGGCCCCACACACTGCAGAGAACTATCTTGTCCCAAACCTGCATTTTCATGCATTTGACCTTTTCTCAAGTAACTAACATTTTAACATGCTAACCAAGTACCTGTTTATGAAGAATTGTACTTTTATAGAACTGAAGATTATCTGCCTGAATATCTGAGACATTTATGCTAATCTTTTTTCATAGCAAAAATTATAAAGAAGTATCCCCAAAGGACTGACTGTATTTTAAATAATAAGGAAATTTACTGGCTGACCATAATATCTGATACTACTGATGCTATTACCCTACTTCTGTCATTAGCCATTATTGCAGTCTGTGTGCTTAACTGGGCTGGGGGGACCAATTCTGCTGGTGGGGATCAGAGGTCTTATCTTCCTAGACACCAGTTCCACAATGTTGTAGGTTTTCTGATGGAGTCCTGTGCACACACCAAACGATGAACTAGTTACAGCAGGAGCTCACAGGTAGATCCAGAGCTGCAGACTATTTGTTTTCTTCGGTCCCTAAGGCAGACCTTCCACACACAGCCTTACCTCACACAAGGAGGCTGCATGCTTTCTCCTAATACAGAAATCAAGAATGTCAAGTGCAACTTTACACTTATCTCAAAGCAAGCATGATTTAATCCCTCTTCTGAAAGTATGCTGTGCAAAATATAAACGGCCTTATGAGGCTTAGGAATTCACATTATAGCAGGGTAAAAAAAGAAAGAGAACCTGCTCAAGTTATTTTGCCATCTCCAGCTTGCCTGATGACTAAACAGAAATTCCACTTCAGCTTTATTGTTTCTGAATTCTTGAACCAAAGTCACCTCTCGTGTTTCTTTGAAAAATGCCTTTCAGTAACTAAGGCTTCAATGACCGTCTGGGCCATCTACCACCATTTCCTTTTGCAATTTATTACTTTGACTGAAACTTTGTAACATTCCCCCATGCAGAACTATTGTAGAAATAAACTGGAGACTGGGATGGCTCTAACATCTTGAACAGACTATTCTGTCTATAAAAAAAGTATTTTGCTAACTTAAAGGACTTTGATTTAAATGCAGTAATGCTTTGGCATTGCAGAAGGTATCTAATACAGTGAACTAGACTGGTGTTGACAGACTCTATAATCTTGCTTAGATATTTTTCCAGGAATACTCTATTCTTCCATCTCTAAGAATGTAGAATGCTAAGATGCCATCTGAACTTGTTTGACATCTTCTTTCCAGTTAATACTTTTATTTTATTTATGCACAGCCACTAATCAGTTTTTCCCTATTATTAACAGGAACTGAACTGCTTTTAATGGCACACTAGCCTGGTTGTAACTGATGTTCTGAAAACCAATAATCTCTTTCCTTAGCTTTGTCCCTAAAAACAAAATATGAATACTCTTGATTCCCTAAGTGAATTTCAAGCTAGAACTGATGATCTGGATCATTTTCACTACAGAAAACAGATCTCCATTCTGATTCCATCCATTTCCTTAGTAGTCAAAGTCATCTGAACAAAAATGTGTCAAAACCCAAACATACCAAAAAAACCTCCAAATCTCAAACAAAAAAAATTCCCTTTTCACTGCTATCAATGGACCTCTCCTAATCCATGCAGAAAGAAACTGAGGGAGACATACATATACAACTCATTGCTGCTCTGTGCAGTAAGTATGGTTTTGCCATGAAGACAGTCCTCTCACTCGGCTTTCCTTTATAACACAAATCTTACAGCATATAAAATTCCAGCAATTCAGCAATGGAACAACTCAGACCAGCCACTAGAAGAAAAGCAGCCAACCACCACCCCCCCCAGCATTACAGCCTCAATCTTGAGAGAAGTGCTTAAAGCCTTAACTCTTGCAAGTCAGGAAAAGGAAAAAGCTCAAATTAGCACATTTGTAAGGAGAATCCACCCAGTGGGAAGGTGATTTCTTCTATCTGCAAAGATTATTTTAGAGAGACTGTCAAAGTGAACAGAAAAACATGTATATGTTTTTACTAGGATAGCAGAATAATGTGATGCTCTTTACAAGTCCAGGTGCCCACTGATATAAAGAAGACTTGCAAAGAAAATTCTTGCCAGGGTCATACTGCCATTAATATGAACAATCCAAAAGACTTAATTTCTTTCCTCCAACTAGAATGAAAGACATTTTCCCTCCCTATAAAATCCATGTCTCTCACTCTGTGTGATCCTTTTGATACAAGCAATTTTCAACTGCTGTCTGTTGCACAAATGTACCAGTTCTCTGAAAACAAAACAAGATGATTAACATTAGCAAAGATTTTTAATCTAATTCTCTTAGAACTCCCTCTTGCTATGGAATACACCAGAATACACCAATATACTGCCTTTAATTAAAAAAATAAAACTCTCTTGGGGTAAGATTATTGCCCACCTTCTCCATTTTCTGCACTAAAACTAAACATGTATTTTTGAATAAGAACATAATCTTGAGTTGGATCTTTTTGTAATCAAGTAACAAAACTGAATGACAGGTAGAATTGGATATAGCAACTGATAATTAAAACCCAGAGACAAATCATGTACATGCTTCTGTTCTTTTACAATATGGTCTACAGTATAAACAATTAATTGTTTCCTCCCACTGTTATCATTTAAGGTCTCACTACCAATGAGTAGGGACAGATGCCAAAGATGACTTAAAATCAAATTATAGGCTCAAGAATGATCAACTGAGATGAAAACTACTGCCTCAAGGTTGGAGAATTTCATAAATTAAAGGCTGCCACTTTTGAGTCCTTATTTTGAGTCAAGTGAGGATAGCAATAAATCTGTGTATGAATAAAAAACAGAAAAGAAAAAGTGCAAAACAATATTGGAGGCTACACAGCTGAATTGTGATAATATTCACAGTCTCAAACCCGTTCACATTCTGGCTGGATACCATTTAAAGGGTTTGCTTTGGAGGGTCTCCAGAGAAAACAGCAATAACTGGGAGTTTAACTGTGAAGCTCACAGTACGGTGTGTTAACTTGAGAAGAGACAGACGTACATACTGCTTTACAACTGTTTGCTATAAGACTCGCGGTCTTCTTAAAAGTCTTCTCGAGGTAGTGAGCAAATCTCTCATTCTCGTTTTCCTTGGAACCCAACTGGAGGAATTCACCTAAAAAGATGCACAGATGGGTGGTTTTATTTATGGCTTTACTGCTTAGGCAAGCAAATCTGAAGAATAAACAGAAAAAGACCTTACCACGCACCAGATCTTCAATCACCTGAGTTAGAACAGAGACGATAGTAGTATTTCCAATTCGGGCTAAAGCTACAGAAGCAGCTGAGAGGATGAAGTCACCAGCTAGAACAGCCTAAGAATAAAAAAAAAAAAAGGATCTCTTAAGTCTTTGCCAGTGTTAGTAGAGATGATACAATTTCCTTTATTTGGCAGATCTACTCACATCACATAACTTTCCTACATAAAGCACAAATATCTCATTGTAACAGAAAAAACAGAAGATCACCAAACGTTGAAATCAGAATAATTTTTGAATCTTATAGTGTTGTTTTTATTTTTCTATATAAGCTCTGTCCTCCCTGTATGCAATACCTGAATACGTGTTTGCCTATGAAGTTTTTTTTGAACATTAGTTCTCTATTTGACCATTCTGTTGTGACTGCTACACCATGTGAACTCTGAATTGCCCTAAGTTCTGGTGCGTCAGCAGTGTATTTCCTTCCTTGGATTTTCTGGTTAAGACCTTCCTTGTAATGTGCTATGAAGAAACACCACTCTCAAAAAAAATTTCCTGCTGACTGAAAACATTTTTGTTTTCACTAATGATCAGACTAATATACAGTGTTCAAGATGAGGTACAAGTTCAAGGTGTTCCAATAGCACTGCAGAGAATGGCATAGGGAATGTAAAATCAGTAAGAATCACAGAATGGGTCAGGCTAGATGGGACCACACGGTCATCTGGTCCAACCTCCCTGCTCAAGCAGGGTCATCCTAGAGCACATGGCACAGAACTGTGTCCATAAAGTTCCTGAATTTCTCCAGTGAGGGAGACTTCACAACCTCTCTGGGCAACCTATTCCAGTGTGCAGTCACTGCACAGTAAAGAAGTTCTTCCTCGCGTTCAGGTGGAACTTCCTGTGCATGTTTCTGCCCTGTGGCTCTTGTCCCATTGCTTGGTACCACTGAGCAGAGCCTGGCTCCATCCTCTGGACACCCTCCCTTCCGATACTTATAGACACTGATGACGTCCCCTCTCAGTCATCTCTTCTTGAGGCTGAACAGGCCCAACACTACACACTACAATCACTCATTATCTAATGTTTTCAACAGTTCAGAAAAGGAACACCCACAAACTGTGTACACCTCTCATACTTTTTCCATCATATCCCAAGACCTAAGGATAGTAACTTTACAAAACTCTAGGTGTTTGTGCTTTGCTGAAATTCAAAGGCAAGTCTTGCACTTATTAGCAAACTCACCTTCCTCTCTCCCCATATTTGATTAAGCGTTCTTTTTCCTCTGCGAGAATTTGCATCATCAATAACATCATCATGAACTAGACTGGCTGTGTGGATCATCTCAGCAATTATGGCCACAGAGCGCTGGCTTGCTTGCACCTCCCTAAAATAAAAAACAAGAACTGTCAAACAATTAAATCTGTTACATATCGTGCAATACACTAAAAGAAATCCCTACTAAAACTAAAAAATGTTTTTCTGAAAACAGCTGTCGCAGCTTTTCTGTGGTCTGAACCCCATTTTCAAACCTGGAATTGGGAAGACAAGAGAAGTTAACATCACATTAATACAGTAAGTGCAATAGGATGTTTCCATCCTTATTAAAGGCCTATTTCTACCTTGCTGCATTAACAGTACTGCAAAACTCCTGCGTTATTGACTCTAATCCCTCTAAATCCAGATTGCAATAAATAGCACAGCATCAAGGACGCTTGGTTTCAGGAGATGGAAAACGGCAGAGAAAAGAATGCCAGATACCTTTGTAGATGAGTTTTAAGTTTTCCTTATCTCTGTATTGCTCTACCTATTAACCAGCATCACAAACTCCAAAGCTAGATAACTCTACTAACCAGCAAGCTGGAGAGATCAGAAGGCACAGAAACCTGTATTCTACATCTGAAAGACATAACTCATGGATCTTATCCTTTATGTTATCTGATTACCTTAAAACCTCAGAGGTTCTTCAAAAGCCTGAGGACTTAACTGGAATTATACCGCAATCACTTTAGGACTGTAAACACCAACTACCTAACACTTACTGGAATTCAGCCTTTGGGATAATCTAACACTGATGAGTCAACTCTCAGTAGTTCACACCTACTTTATTTTTTAAACTAGGTGAAACGGAAGGTAATGGAACAACATAGAAGGAAATATCTAGGGAACAAGACTGGCAAAATTAGCATAAAAGAGCCTACCTAGCTCTCAAAAAGGACCATCTACCCTATTATCCAATTGCCACTGTCTAGTTCTGTACCATCTTTTTTTCTACCTCTTTTCATCAAGGGTTACATGCAGGATCCCAGAAATGGCTATCCCAGACAGCTTTGTCTCATAGCTGTAACAAGCCCACATGGACGCAAAACACCAACAAAACCCAATAACCAAAAAAAACAACAAAAGAAAAAATTACTTCTGATATAGATACCCTACTTCTGGTATACAGACAACACAGAAAATCACACTGTTTTCCAGTAGAACAGAAAAAGAACTGAAACAAAAGACAATAATTCCAGCTCAGCTGTAGGGAATTTAAAGCCTTCCTGCAGTGCCTATGTCTATTAAAATGTAGTGATTAATCACAAAATGAAAGAACATCTTGCAGTGTGCTGACATAACACTGCATTCTGACACCTACCTCTACACAGAATTCTGCATTGCTGTCAGTGGGAGTTTTACATCCTGAACAATAGCAGGATGAATGCATAGCTCCCAGGCTCTGAAAATGTGGCATTTATACAACAGAAAATAAGAGCTGGAAACCTTCATGGTGGTTTGAAGGCAAGTTTTACTGTGGAGTAATAATTTAGTCAAATGTTAGTTCAGTGTAAATAGTTTTCCAAAATAAACTATTCTTACTAAGTAGGAGAAAACTTACCTTCAAAAAACTGTAAAGGTCTCCAGCCTCTTTCATGCACTGGTCTCCTTTTGGGGATTCCCTTTTTCATTAATAATGTCAGCAGACTGGACTTCCTGCTGGGAAGCAGCAGTAAATGGCAACACTCAACTGACACGCCAAAATCTTTCAGTAGTATGAAGGCAGTACAAAACCAGATATTTCAAAAGCAGGTTTTGAAAAGTTCTGCATTTTAGTGCATGTCATCTCTGACAATGACTAAAAATGGCACAGGAATGCTAATGGTTCGTGTGTCTGGTTTCCAGAATGTTATATCAAATGTGATAATTTAATCTGGAAGTTTTTTTAAAATTACTATTTCCATAAAGTCTCAAGCAAGATTCTTTCCATCACTGGCAAAAAAAATCTGCAATAGTTTCCTACAAGCATCTTGTGAGAGTAATTCTGAATCAGAGCATGCCTATTTTAGGGGAAAACACACAAGAAAGAGGATCCTTCTCATTCCCTGCCATTTTTCATTCAGCTTTGCCTGCAAGACAAAAGCAAAAAGTGGCAGTAACTCAAGTCAATAGATAACTGGGCCTGCACTTACCCAGTAAGTGGAAAGATGCCATTTTTAGGTCATTCTCAAAGTAAAGACACCCCAAGATGATACGTACTCACACAGTCTTTTTGTACAACTGTAAGTTTATCTTTTTACATATGCAATATATTAAATTTTAAGTCCTTGAGCATGTTCTGTTTTTCAGGAGGACCTCCCCTGCTTGATTGTGTGATAAGGTTCTATTGACTTACAGTACCTTGAGGTGTTTGTCATTACAGGACTTGTTTCATGTACACTGAACAAGACCAAGGCTCACCTTATAGGTTAAAAAAAAGTCCAAACACATCTCTCCCTACAAATATCCCTCTTCAAAAAAGACAAAACCCCCACAAACAGTGAGGGGGGAACTCAAAATGATGCAAACCAGTATTCACACTCTGAAACAAAGAGCTTTGCAACGTGTTTGCCAGTAAGTAAATATTTTGCCAATTTAAAGATAGGAAATTGCAAGAGAACTTGCAAAAGACCTTGCAAAATTTCTGTGTTTTAACCACACTTCTCCAAGTACATTTCTGCTGTTAAGCCCCTGTGGCTGAAACAACCATTACAGAAATACAGTCTGTGACATGGAGGGCACTACAAACTAGGGGAAGCACAAATAATGTATGTGTTAATATGGGAGCAAATTGCACAGCAGCTGAAAACCAGCAGAGTACAGGCTTCTGACAACCATCATTTGGGGGAGTGAAAGAGGACTAAGGTTGCTGGCAGGTCTTCATATCTTTAGGAAATATTCTATCGAGTTTAGCCAGGTCATTATACATAAATGTTTCTCACACTATTCTAATGAATTTACTTCCCTTTTCCCCCCCTGTTTTCTCTCTTGAGATGTCTCTGTACTTCTTTGGCCCTTTCTTTTTTGTCTCTCATTTTGGTTGCAGAAAGAGAAATAAAAACTCTTATTTGCAAACACCTTTGGAGAATACACTCTAAACAGAAACATTAACTCCTGTCAAGCTAAGTGGTAATTCTGTGAAATTCTGCACACAGGTATGTGAAGAAATGCCAGCAGATGTGTGAAATTGAGGGTTTGTATGACCTCAGGTTAAACTATTTACAGTAATTCTCACTCTCACAGACAGCTTAGTTGCTATCAATAAGCAAAAAGCCACTGCCCAAGGGACTTGGACTTCTGGCACTTAGAACTTCAAGAGAAAACAAACAACATACCAACACAGAACAATTTGAGTGCTTCAGCCACTTATATTTTTGATAATTCTTTATTACAACTGTCATTTTCCTTATTATGACTACAATAAAGTGACCTCACTCTAGAAAAACAGTTAACTTGCTGAGGGTATTCGAATTACTTTGCCTTCATCAAATCTCAACAGAAATGATCATGTCACCTAACCTGTAAGCAGAGATATCTGGGCATTCCACTCCATTCTCTTGAGAAGTCTCAGTTACTCTGGTGGGACTCGGTGAAGACAAAGAGGTCTCTCTGCACTGCCTCCTAAGATCAGGACCTATAACCTTACTAAGTTGAGTCCTTTTATTGTAACAGCCAAACAAAACAAAGTATTCCTTTTATACAAGTATAGCACAAAAGAAGAAAAAAATAACCCCAACAAATAAAAGAGCAGGCAAAAGCATGCTGGGTCTAGCAAGTTATATGACAGTTGAGAATGTGAGCAAGATGAAGCAGAAGCTCAACATCAGTAACACAAACCCCAGAGGCAAGATAAAAAAAAGAAAAATGCTAGGGATGAACAGCACAGGATATTGGTTCACTCTACAAATCTACAGATACTGCAGTCAGTGTCTTTGACTACATGTGTGGGAACCAAAGCTTCAACAAAATAAAACATGTCTGGGAGAAGAATCAATATTAACTGAGGAAAAGAATGGCAAAATACTTTAAGGAAAATGACAAGCTGAAAGAGGAAAAACATCTTAAAAAAGTGTTGTGAGAAGCAGAATGAAAGACAAGTATTTTTCCCCTAGGGTCTACAGAGAGAGTAGCAGACTTACAAATATACAGTGTTTCCTTCTCTACATATACAATTTTCCTCGCAAACATTAATAAATTGGAAGAACAATTCGTCACCTGGAAACAATGCTGCTTTAAGAAACAACAATAATGAAACCAGTATCAGCGTGAACTGGAAGTATATGTATATACAGAGCAGGTGTAACACAGCCTGCCTCAAGAAGCTTGAAAGCAAAAGAAAAGAAAATGCCCATAAAACTTCATTAGCTCATAGGAAGTGAATATCCACACTTTGAGCGTACATTCTTTGGGCATGGCCCAGCCAACCCTCAAAAAACATCGGTCATCATGCATGAACCAAAGAGCAGTACAGTGAAGACTTGTACCAACATATGTGATATTTAATTACAATCACAGGCTTAGAGAAATTGGCAAGAGGCAAAGAAGAGGAAGGTAAATACCCTGAGATTTCATTATATTTCTTTGCTGAAACATTTGTTCTCCCCACTCAGACTTTCATTTTAGAAGCAACATATCAGAGATAGTGACTCAGTCTGGCTTATACAAGGAACATTCAGATTATCGAGGAGGCTTTTAAAACACCAAACTGCAACAGATGTACAAAAGCTGCCAAATGACACAGGCATGTATAAATCAGAGGACTTATGCTGAGGGCTGGCTACTGCAAAGCAAACACCCGCCCCAGGCATATGTGTCAGTTGAACTCGGAGATCACACTTTCTCACTGGCATAGGGCAGGTCTCAAAACTGGTCTTGATGGTTTCGAGACACGAGGACAAAAATATGTCCTTGAACATATATATATGCCAAAACCCAGCAAATATGTTTTGAGCACAAAGGCAAATTCAGTCTTTCTACCACTATTTCTCTTTGATTCACTCTTCAACTCCCACACTACATGACATCAGTTCCAGCCTTCTCAGTATTGCAAGCATAATTTCGTTCATAAGCTCCTCATGCTGCACACTAGAATGAGATAAAACTATTTTTTACTGTTATTCTGACTAGAAAGATGCTCCAAAAACTCACTGCCCCAGCTGTTAAAAGTCTCCTAAGTTTCCATCCTCTTAGCAATAGGAGTCTTTGTCTTAATAGCTCTTTCACCCTGTTCCTGATAAATTTGCAGACCACAAGTCTTCATTCTCCATAATTATCTCTGCAGTTCATGCCTGAAGCTACCTGGACTTCTTCTGAACACAGGGATCTGACACTGAATCTGATGATTTTAGGAAGTGTTTTATACACTGCCACAGCTAAACTGGATATACTAGGGTTGACACACGCTAGGATAACTTTAAGGTTTTTCATAGAGAAGGTGGCTGCAAACCACAATGGAGTTATGTCCTAATGGCACACACATAAGCCTGCAAGCTCAAGCAGAAATTTTTGGTTTATTGTGCTTCCTTATATTTCAGCATGGATGGCTGATGTCATCAGTAAGTGCCATCATTATGCTCCTGTTTTTCAGGTCAAGATCACTCATGAAAATATTAAGCCAATCAGTGCTGTGACAAAGGACATCCCTGAGGAGTTTCACAACCAATATTATTCCTTTTGCTGTCTCTAAGAGAATGACATAGAGCAGTCCTGAATGGAGAACAGAATCAAGCTGAGGCAAAGTTCACTAATCCTGGACAATGTTTTTGTAAAACAAGGGGAACTGGCACACATAAGACAGGACACTGCCAACTAGGTTTTGCCTTCTCCTTTGAAACTATATTCACATAGGAGGGGGTATTCAGGGAGAGGTACCACAAAACAGCAAAATATATGCCATGCTCTGAGGTAGTAATCAAGTCCAACAAGGCATTAAACTACTGCTACAGAAAAGTTGATATAAGAGCTCAGAGAAATCCCCTTTAACACTGACAAATTAGTTTAGAAACACTTCTGGAAAGGGACCAAAAATTTGTTATTTGACATTCTATACAAGGCAAGACTGGAAGCGCAGCTGGAAGGCAGAGAACACTCCAGCCAACGTCTTTCCTCAAAATGCACACAGCAACTGATAGGAACGTGCGGAAAGAAGCATTTGCTATGAGCCAGAGCAAGGACTGATAGAGAGTATAGGTGAACACAATGTTCTGCTCAGTTAAAACTGCTTTCAAAAGACAAGATCATAAGGATTACACCAGCTCTAAGATTAGATTCTTACATTACAGTATAGAAACTTGCTCCTAGATGGTGAAAAAACCCTCCTGATTGTTTTGAATGTCTCACAGCTTTGAATATAATCATACCAATTGCTTAATGGCTTTTCTGCATAATTATTGAAAAAGCTTATGAGAGTCTGTTCTCGCAGCAAAGTTCTTACCTGTAACAAGAGCTTAATAGGAACAGGAGTGGTTACAAATGAAAATACTTTTAAGGAAGTTCATATAGTTTCTAATAAAGCATTTACGCAAGAAGCTAGAATTGACTAAAAGCCTTACAAATATCCTAATTTGGCAACATTATTTATCCATTACCAGTTACAAGTGCAGTCTACAATTTTAGACATGGAAAAATGTAATAAATCCAGCAGTTCCTTTTGCACTGGTAACTACAAAAATATAGCTTCAAGATGGAACTTAAATTCAGGTTTTACTGAGGAGCGTTTTATTTTCATAAAGTTACTAGACATATTTTTTGGAAACACAAGAATTATAACTTTCAAGTATGATTTATGTATCTAAAAGTGACCAACTCACTTGGAATTATTATGGTGAATGTTGCAAGCCCGAGCCATTAGCACCACAATCATTGGTCGAAAGGCCTTTCCTTTCCCATCAAAGTAATAATCACACATTTCCTTAAGTTCTGCTGCAGAGACAAGTAATTCCTACATAAAGGACAAGAACATTTCAGCATAGAAGTCACAAAGTCAATCTGTTTAGTGTAAGTAAAACAATATGCGTGTATAAGGTTATTGCCTGCGTTCATTCCACCCAGTGTAAGCTAAAGTTGTTTTTAAAATTACTGTGAGCAATCTGAAACATAAATGTATTTCATCACTGCAAATCAGGAGACAAAAAATTGCATTCTGGTTCTATAAAACATCAGAAATGCTCCTTTTGCCTTCAGTTTAAGCTTCAGACAGTTGTTCATAAACATAAATAATATTCTTTCAATAAGTGTCGCCCAAGTTGATGGTTTCTATTAAAAACAATCATTGCAACATCCCAGAATAGTCACCAAAATCCCTTACCTTTTTAATATCTTCATAGAGATTCTTCAAGTCTTTTCTACCAAGTTGAAAAGGGTCTTGGTATTTTTCATCACTAACTGTCTTACTGCAGCTGCACAAGTGGGATGTACTTGTATGATGAAACCTGGTGACAGTGTTTTATAAAACAGTAGTGTTGTTAAAAGCAAACTTTCCCTGATTCCTCAAACGGAAACATTTGAAAGCATTTCCTCCTCCTTCTCTTTCCTCACACAAGATGTAACCAAATGGCTAAAACAGATGAAGGCATCAAAACACTCTTTTCAGTCAGATAGTAAGGTAAGCACAGCATAGCTACATATTGGTGATCATAAATCTTTAGGAGCTGGCAAAGCGCAAACAGGAACACCCCCCTGCCCTTAACAGATTACAGAAGTCTTCTGAGACACATAAAACTACATTTCTCTCAATGTACTCCTTTTGAAGACACTATAGATAGTATAGCCTATAGTTGGAGATAAAGCCTTCATCTTCCCATAATATAAGTATTCTGTTAATTTCTTCCCTCTCTTGTAAACCCCTGGAAAAATATTCCTGAATTGCATTTGAAATTTTCTAATTTGCACACCCAGCTACATTATAAATTAAATCAATACTTCCAGGTAGCATGATGATGCTATGAATGTTCATCAGGAAACGGGGGAAGCTCCACCTGTAGGCATCAAGCATATGCCTGATTTACTTTTTTTGTTTCCTGGAGTTGAAGTTTATGTTTCTTATTATATTTCCTTTTCCAAAGTGAACCATGTGTATTTTCTTGCAGCATTCCTGCTTTGCCTGCTACTCTCAAGGACAGAGGACTTGGATTCAGATTTGGCAGCACAGCAGCAGTCTACACGGAATTATCCAACTATGTATTAGAGTGAGCAAAGTTTATAGCTCACAGGTATAACTACTCAGTTCACCCAACAACTGTGTCTTTACCCATTACACAACAATACGACTCTCCAACTTACCGCCAAAATACATTACATATTTTTGGAAACGACAAAGCTGAACTTCTTTGGGTAAAGTGACACATCTGTACAAAATAAAACCAGGGTTAATTTATTAGAGCTTTAAACTGACACAAAACATTCACTACAAAAAACATGTATCTGTAGAGCACTACTCTGTTTCTCCATTTTAACAACCCTGCATCAAAGGGAGTCTCATAATCTCCTTCCATATCACATGAGACATGAGTGATAATGAGAGAATGTGCCAATAAGCACATTAAACTGACTCTTCCGCTCAGGAGTGTTGGACTTTCTCCCCTTGCAGGACCAGCCCAGGAGCCTTATCAGTTAAATTACCAAAACTGCTCTAACGAAACCTTACTTTTGCACTTGTGCAAGGTGTAATTTTCAAACGTTCCCTGTCTTGCAGATAAATCTGGACTGCACCAGTCAAGGCACAGAGAAAAGGGCAAGAGCTATTTCAGTAAACCAGTACACTAACAGAAGAACATGTCCTTGTTTTTCCCTGAAGCAATTTCAATTCAGCTTGTTGCTTATGATAATCTACACCTGCCTATCTCCCTGCTAGATGTCCAGAATCTAACTTCCAAACCTAGCAATGTCTCCAATGATCTCTGCCTGCAGACATAGCCCAGGAGCCTGAGGGAAGGCACAGTCCCAAGTACACGATGTCCAGCTGAGAAAGGAAGCACAGCTTTTGCTATGCTCCTGGCAGTCCAGCCAGGACGACCCAGCCCTGCCCTCCAACCAGCCCTGCCCTCCAACGCAGGCTGACTCAGGGGCCTGCTGGGCTGAGCCAGCCTGAAATCACTGCAATCCACGTGTTCACCAAACTGTCTCCGGAAAAGCCTGCAAAAGAATATTCAAGAAGACCTAGGACTAGAGAACCTGCTTCTCATGCCTCAGTGTCTCCTCGTTTGTAGATTTAAGTCTCTCCTTCGACAGAGGGAGCGAAACAAAAGCACTGTAATGGCTCAAGGACAACCTTTCATCCTCCGTGCGTATGAAAAAAGGCCATGCAAGGACACAAGGGAAGTACAGGAACCCTAACTTATTCCTCTGCAACTCACTGCTGTTGCAGCCCTACGGCTGAGACCTTTGTAAGTTGCTCTCTCATACATCTCATAGTGTTCTGTTGTTAAAAAATAGCTGATCTCTTGCTAATCTTCCTTCGACGAGGGCACAGACAGACTCCCTCCTTTACACAGCTGCTTAACACTGGCTCATGCAAGATGCTGGACACATCAACCAGAGCCCTTTACCGCGGGTAAGAACAGCCGTCTGGCCTTGTGAAGAAGCTGTAAACGAACGCAGTGAGAGAACTGCTCCCACCTCGACTCACACACAAACGCGTTCAAAATCTCACACTAATGAGAACCGCCTTCCCTGCTCCCACCTAGAGAAGGCTCTGCGAGGTTCACCACACTAACCAATGCTGCCCCGAAAACCCTTAACCCAGTGTTTAACCTTGCACCGAGCGCGCTCCTGCCCCCAGCAAGGACCCCCCGGCAGGGAATCGCCTACGGGCCTTCGCCCTTCCCGGTCGGGGGGCTGCGGAACGCCTGTGACCGCCCGGCCCCGCGCCCCGCCCGGGCCCCCTGCCCCATTCATTCCGTGACCTCCCGGCGCCCGCCGCACTCACCGCGCTGGGGGCCGGCGGGGCGCGGGGGCCGGGGCGCGGCACGGAGCCGAGCGGCGGCGCCCGGCGGCACGAGGCGCCGCACCGCCACCACCACCGCAAGGCCATGGTGTCCCCCAGCCCCGCCGCGCCGGCACCGCCTCTCGGCACCGCCGCGACCCGGACGCGGAAACCCCTCGCCGCCACCGCCCTCCGGCGGGGTGCCGGCAGAACACGGGGGGGGGACGGGGAGGGCAGCGGGCACCGCCAGCGCCCCCCGGCGGGGCGCCGACGGGGACGCCCTGGCAGCGGGCACCGCGCACCGCTTGCGCGTCTCGCCGCCCCCTCTTTGAGGCAGGGAGACCTCAGGCCGAGTGTCTTTGGGGACTCGCTGAAGGTTTGGGGACATGTGGTGGCCCCCCTGGCTGGCCACCTGCCTGGCGTGGGGCTGTGTGGCCGCGCTGTGCGGCTCCCGCGGGCTCTGCCTGGCCCCGAACGCCTCCCGCCCCGCGCCGGGGCAGTGCCCGCGGCGCCGGGGAGCGGCGGATCTCTGCGCCTGGGCCCTGTCCTCCGACAGCCTCTTAGGTACGGCCTGCCCTGCCCCGGGCTGCGTACGCCTGCTCTGCCCCGAGGCTCTTGCTTGGTGGGTTGTGGCAGCTGCTAAAGCAGAAACTAAGTGAAGACCTGATATACACAAATACTACTTTTAAAATTAAAACCAGAGTGGCCGTAAGGAGCTTTTTTGGTTTATTGGTTGGTTGATGTTTTCTTTTCCGAGTCCCAGTTAATGCAAAATTGATAACCTGACACCTCACTGGCAGTACACAAAACGTTGTAGCTCTCAGGCACACAGAATTGCCTGTAATCATTATGGTAATTTATATGATAACATTACAGAACTAATTTCATCAGGTGACACAATTCCTTGTGAGCATTAAGAAATAATAGTCAGTGATGAATCTTGTGTCAGCTGGCTATAACAGGATTTGTCAATAGAGGTATTGACAAACATGGCTAACAGTAACAGTCCAGAGATGCTAGCTCAAAATTTTTACAAAACAATGTCTATAAAGTATTAGGATTGTATAATTAATGTGGAATCGTAAGATTGTTGCAAGCAAAAATCCATAAAGATGGTAAACCACACAGTATTAGTTAAGTGTTTTAAAACAATATTCATCCTCTGTTACCATGGATTGGGGCACAGAATAGGTCCGAAGGAAGAATGAAGCACATCTTCTGAGTACATATGTTATGCTACAGCGAGAACTACATCTTCTGAGCCTTTCATTCACTGTTTACATTGCTCAGAAAAGACTTCATCAGGTTTCTTAGGTTACATGGTGATCATTGCTGCATATGGACTATATGCAGCAGTTAATGGTGCACAGTGACTTAAATCTGTTGCACTACATTGTGCAGCACTGAACTACATTCAGTTGTGGGAATAGCTGAACTCTGTCTCATATAAATATCTTTTAGGGTTGTATATAATGTAGTGCAATATGAAACTACTTAGATATGGTTTGGATGTTAAAAATAGCATGCCCTGCTAGATTCTTTTAACTGCAGAATTCAGTCTTTCTTTTCAAAAATTCCAAACAGAATAAAAACCTAAATTTATTTGGCCTTGCTTTTCATGCAGGCTTAATTTAGATTGTGGTAAATACTTGAGTTTTAGTTGTTTCTGAATTATTTTTATTTGTTTTAAGATGAAAGGCATTAGAAAGATATGATTAATTTTTTTAAAAGACATTTTTTCTCTCTTTCATGTTTACAGATCCTTTTCCAGTTGATGTGATCCAGGAAAATTATGTCCGTAATGTGAGAAACTGCATTTTTTCAATTGTCTATCCTACACCTTTTAAATCTAGAGTTCGTCTTGTAGCTGTTTCAAAGGTTGGTTGTTGTTTTTTGTTCCTTTAGTAGAGATTGCTAATATGTGTACTAAAGTATATTTTAAAGTATATTTTAATATTCATATGCTATTTATTGTAAAAGCATCTCATCACTATATACTTTAAACATATTTAAAACATACTTAAGCATATATAAAACATATTGTGAACTGTCTGTAGAAAAAACATGTTCATTACCACTGACAATTCGATCATGTTCAAGTACCAACTGTATTCTTTTTTTCTCCAGGAGGTTCTTGAAAATATTTTGGATCTTGATATATCTATCAAAGGAACATCTGATTTTCTTGAGTTCATCAGTGGTGGGAAAGTGATAGTTGGGTCTGTTCCATTGGCCCATAGGTATGGGGGTCACCAGGTAACTGTGGCACTCATTTCTTCCAAGTTGAACTATGTAGCATTTGCATGTGAATTATACCTTGATAATACCTGTAAGTACATGAACACTTATTAACATTTTGATTGCAGATTTGATTTTCATAAGGGGCTGCAGGTGGAAGAAAACTATAATATTCTTTCTCAGTACCATGTTTACTTCCTCTGCTTTTGTATATTCCTGAAGCAAATTATCGTTTTGACTTCCATTAGCTGCTGACTCTGCTTGGCACCCCTGCAGCTTAGCCAGCTCTGATTCGTGACAGGTATTATCAACTCAGAGGAGTGAAAAAGGGCAGAGCCTCACTGCAATACCATGATTAATAAGAGTTAAGCTTTATTGCAATTAGTGTGATTATTAATGGAGAAGAATGGTAGAATTTAGTTTGTAATTTCCAATTAAAAATACCAAAACAAGCCATGTGAGTTTAGAGGCTCGTTATACAAGCGAGGCAGGTCTGTAGCTGTACATCATAGCTGGAAGGTGAAAAAAAGTGGGGATTACTGCCATTATCCTTTTTCTGTGGTTTTCTGATTAATTATTGGTGTGAGTGTGGAAATAACAGCTTTAGGGATCAACCTCATAATGACTGTGTGAGAAAATGTGTCATTATATTGTGTAGAACACAGAGAACCTACATGTAATTTGTATTGTTTCAAGTATAACTGTTATAAATGGTAGAAGAAAATAACTTGATTTTAATTTTTGTCAGTTTGGTACCTGGGCAGGTCAGCTGGGAGATGGAAGAGCCCACTTGGTTGGAGTATATACAAACAGGTGTGACATTTTTTTAAATGACTGATTCAACTCTGTGTTCGATTTAGTTGATTGATGGATAGCTCAAGGTGTACTGTTAAAAATGCTAATGGTATTTTTGCAGGCATGGTGAGAGGTGGGAACTGCAGTTGAAAGGGTCAGGAAAGACCCCATACTCCAGGTAAGTTGCGGTTGTTCTGTGTACGCTAAAACTGAATGTTTTCTTTTTGAAATTTGCTTTGATTTTATGACCTATTCCTTATTTCTCTGTTCTTCATAGGAATGGAGATGGAAGAGCTGTGCTTCGCTCTTCTATTAGAGAGTTTTTATGTAGTGAGGCCATGCACTATCTTGGAATTCCTACAAGCAGAGCTGCTAGGTATTTTTCTTTTTTTTTTCACAGTATCTTCATTTACAGGTAATTTTGTGACTGAGTTTCACTGAGCATCAATAATGGAGGACAGTTAGTTTCCAAGATGATAGGTCTTTTCATATGGGTGCTATCAGAACAAAATATATCCCTCCAGTTCTATAGATTTTTGGATAAAACTTTCCAATAATAATAAGCTCCAGCAATTAATCACATCACTTTTGTCTCTGCTATGCTTTAAAATACTACTTCATTTGAAAACAATATTGTGTACTGTCTGTGTCTAGCGGTAAACAGCTGTTGTTCACTGGTAAGACTGTCTTAACAGAGTTACCTTAGCTTGAAATGTGGCTCATCTTGTAAAGAAAGTAAAAAGTGGAACTTAGATCGAGTAATTATATCTGACACTAACTTGCCTCTCCATGGTTTATGATATTTCAATCAAGAGTTTTGTCTCTTTAAAATACAGAGAAATTGTTCTCTTACCACTGACTTGCAAAACCAGTAGGGCTGGATTCCTGCCCTGTAAGCAGTAATAATACCTTTAGTGTATGTGGATAATCAATGACTCTATTAATACATTTTTCATGGTTAATAAGCGAGTCTTTTATTACACTGAAGTTAAACATTTGAATAAATTTTCCTAGAATCCAGCCAACTAGGAAAATGTTGAAAGTGGCTATTTTTGTACTGTTATAGTCAGTCAGTTGCACATTTTAAGATTGGTGGGAAAAATTGTCAGTCATATGAACAGATGTTAATATTGGAGGTAGTACTGAATGTAGGCAATTGCTCTCAATTCTTTGTTTATGCAAACACCCCTTGAGCAAAGAGAGAGATTTTGTAAAAAAAAATTCCAAAACTAATTCTCTTTGAATCAAAGGAGACTTAATACTTCAGTCATTTGGATGATTTTCTCAGAATCAAGTAACTGATTATTTTCAGATTATCATGTTTAAAATATCAAGTTGATTTTGTGTTCTAAGTAGTCTCAAGTCTGTACTCCAACGTTTAAGGCTTCAAAGAAAGTAAATGTTCTGCAGAAAAGGCCTGTATTCAGCTGCCACATGTCTAGGTATCTGTATTTGCAAAGTGTCTGCAAATCCCTCTAGCATTAGTTCTATCACATTTGCTCTGTTGAAGTGCAGTGCTTGTAAATGACATTTTTGATGGTTTATTCAGTGACTTCATCCTGAGACCCTTTGCTGTTGGCTGTTAATGCAGAACTTTAAATCTGTCTGAATATCAGCAGGAAAGCATCAGGCAGGTTATAGCCTCTCTTTGCTGTCGTCTCAACAAATTGTTCAGTGCCAAACTAGTATGAAAGTACTCTTTAAGTGTGCGCAAATTCTACTGAGCACACAGTGTGCTTTAGTTCTCTGCTGGCAGATTGGTTAAATGCCTGGCTCTCTTAACTGCTGTACAAGATCTCCAGACTGTTTGCAAGACCTAATTTAGAAAAACCCCAGCTGACATCCATGTTCTTCCCAATGGGGAGCTGTTGTACTGAGGCTGGTGGGATGCACTTACAGAGGTCTTGTCACATCTTGGCAGAAGTGGGAGGAAAAGCCTTACAGCTTATCCCAGAACACCCAGCAGGTTGGTTTGCTCTATTAATGTTAAGTACTGTGTTCCCAATGGGGTGCTACAGTTTATGACTGTTCTGCCAGACAAAGAACACTTCATACAGTACCATTTCAGTCACATA